AAAAAAAAAGAAAATCAGAACAAAGCAAAACTGACAAAGTGTATTGTCCACCTTTGTTCCAAGGTTCCCGCAGCCTTTTTCCACGGTGTTTTTGTTCTCCTGCTTGGTCTTGCCATTTGGTCTCGCCCAAGATGTCGGCTCTGAGCCCGGGAGGTTCTAAAGTACATGATTTCTTACTTCAGCTTCAAGTTCCACTAGCTATACGCCTTCAAACTTTTTAAATGTTCCTATCTCTGTGGTTCCGAGTTTTGGACCTCTGCCCTGGATCTGCTTTGTCTGGTATTATGTGGTATGGCTGACGGCGAACTTCACTGCACCTCCACCTTAGCCGCCATCAAGCCCCGCCTCTCCCTATGGGTTTTTATTCATATAAACTCTCACCTTTTTCTAAGAAAAATGGACATCTTTGTAAATCCTGGTGTGGTTCTGTTGGACAAGTACAAGTCATTCCTTGGAAACCCTATACAGGGTTGCTATGAGTCAAAACCAATTAGATGGCACTTAACAACAGCAATAATATACAGGCAACATTTTGCTTTGTATTGTTAAAAGAAAAGCCATTATTATTATTATTTTTTTTTGGACCTTAATAACCTCCCTCTTCAGAACGAAGCACTAGATGACTGGCACCATCCAAACACCAGCAAAATCGGCAAACTCTAGGGCCTAGATACCCATTACCCCTGTAACTCAATCCTATACAACTCCTTTCCCATGAAGAAAGAATAGAAAACTCTGATAAAGCAAAGGCCCCTTTATAGATATAACTTGTATTTTGTTGGAGGAAAGGCTGTGTTTGAGTCTATATTAAGTATCACCAAGTGTCAGAGTTTAGTACCTTAGTGTGTACAAGTTTAACCCTAGTAAACTGGGAATATTATTTGAAATCAGGAAAATATAGTGAAAAAAACAATGAAAATAGTTTACTTTCTTCTTGGGAAAGGAGGTTGAAGGAATCATTGCCTTCAAGTAATAAAAATTAGAAATTTTTCAGATTCAATTCCCAATATATTTTTTTGTTTTATTTTTCCTTTTGAAGTGAATTTAAACAGAGAAGTCTGCAATGTGGTGCACTGGACACAAACATAAAGTATGTTTTGCTTAAATCAACATTACAAAAACATCAAAAGCCTTCTTCAATTTATCCATTTCTTACACTTCTCTATCAGCTCTGTCTAGTCTGTTTAACTTATTTAACAGGGCTTCAGACCTGTTCTTCCTGCTTCAGTGATGACCAACAACGCAAAATTAGAACAGACCTGGATTTGGAAAATGTGGATGAACTGGAACAGGAAAAATCATGGTTCAGTGGCCTGCTAGAAACTTAATCTTTTCTTAAAAAACAAGGGTAGAATGCGCAATGCATAGCAACCACATCTCTAGACTGGCTGAGTTGGAAGCAACGGTGCCTAGTCAAAGATGGTAGTTTGAATATGTATTGCTCATCATAATCTTGGCAATAATCTAGCCTCCTGCATCAGGCTCCTGAAAGGGCTCCCAATGCCTCTTCTGAGTCTCCATTGCAGGGCCTCGACATATAATTCTTTCTGTTTTGCTTTACCCAAAATTGTAAAATTTGGGTCTATTCTGATTTTGTTTAGTCAGTCATGACTTAATTATTTTGAACAGATTCAAAGCCCTGCTTATTTATGCTTCCTGCCCAGTAAAAAACACATACATTTGCAATCCAAAGTCAACAGACTGTCTTGATGGCATACTCTTATGACTCTTACTACACTTGGAATGTTAGGACGTTCAGAGGTAACCAAAACACTTTAATAAAAAATAATAATAGTAGCAGTTAAGAATTTACTATGTTCCAGGTCCCTTTTTAAGGGTTTTATATTTGATTGTTGTTGTTAAGTCGAGTCAGTTCTGACTCATAGAGACTCTGTATAGGGTTTCTGAGGAGCAGCTGGTAGGTTTGAGCTGCCGATCTTATGGTTCGAAGTCCAGTGCTGACTCACAGTGCTACATCAGAAGTCCTCCTTCTATATGATGGGGCTTCAAAAAGTTTGTGGAAAAATAAAATTAAAAGGTAATGGGGTTTTTCCATGAACTTTTTGACACCCCCTTGTATGATACCTTATAATGTAGGCAATAAATATCCTTCCTAGTTTACATGAAAGGCTTTACATGAAAAGGTTGCCTAATATTATGGAACTAGGTGGCTGGGCTGAGGGGATTTGAACCCAGATCTCCCTTTACCTCTAAAATCCATGCTTTTAATTAAGTTAGGTATAATTCTAACCTCTACTTGAGTGTGTGATCATATAGCCATACAACATACTGGTCTTTTTGTTGTTGTTGTTAAGTGCCGTGGAGTCGGTTCCGACTCATAGTGACCCTGTACAGGGTTTCCGAGGCTGTAAATCTTTATGGGAGCAGAATGCCTCATCTTTCTCCCGTGGAACAACTGGTAGTTTCGAACTGCTGACTTTGCGGTTCACAGCCCAATTCGTAACCAGTACGCTACCAGAGCTCCTTCTTAGGAAACTTATAAGCACCGGGATAGACTGAATTGTGTCTCCCAAAAGTATGAGTCAAGATGATGTGGGGAGATGGAGCGGCTAGGAACTCTAGTCCCAGAGAGGGAGAGGGGCTGTGTGCTGACGACTGGGGGGAAGGCTTATGGAGTGTACCCTTTGGTTGGTTGATGATGCATGGAGGGGATTGTAACCATGGCAATGTATCAATATACGACAGGATGACATAAAGCTAATGTTCTCCCATGTACACTATCACATAATTCACAATAAAACAGTTAAAAATAAAAAAGTATGAGTGAACTTGGCTGGGCTATGAGTCTCAGTGGTTGGGCAATTATATAATAATGTAATATGACAGTTACATGATTATTCTCCATGATGTGATAAATCAACAAGCGAACTATGGATAGGCTGCAACACCTTTAGTCCCATCATAAGTCTGATACATTGTAAGGGAGTTTCCCCAGGGGGATTGTCATTGTTGTTAAATGCTGTCGAGTCGATTCCAACCCATAGTGACCCTGTATAGGGTTTCCAAGGAACAGCTGGTGAGCTTGAACCACTGACTTTGCAGTTCAAACGACTTTGTGGTCTGATGCATTAACCCACAGTGCCACACTAGGACTCCTACAAGAGATTAAAGGAGCGAGAAGTGAGCAGAGTAAGAGGGACCTACTACCACCAAGAAAGAAGAGTGGGGGGTGGAGTGCATTCTTTGGACCTGGAGTTCCTACACTGTGAAGCTCCTAGATCTAGGGAAAGACTGATGTCAAGACACATGGAGATTGCCAAGGAATGCTGAAGGAGACAAGGACCTTTCTTCAGAGCTAGCGCTCTGAATTCGAACTTCTAGCCTCCTAAACTGTGAGAGAATACATTTGTGAAAGCAGAAATCCTTGAGGTTTCTGTTATAGCAGCACTAGGTAACTGAGATAAGCATGTACTTAAAACTTTCTAAGACTTATCACAAGTATGTTGTCTTCCTCACTGTTGCTGTTAGGTGCTGTCGAGTCAGTTCAGATTCAGAGCGACTTTATATGTGACAGAACAAAATGCTGCCCAGTCCTGTGCCATCTTCACAATCATAGTTAAGCTTGAGCCCATTGCTGCTGCCTCTGTGCCAGTCCAGTTCACTGAGGGGTCTTCCTCTTCTTCACTGACTCCCCACAGTACCAAGTATGATATCCTTCTCCAGGGGCTGGTCCTTCCTGATAATATGAGAGATGAAGTCTTGCCATCCTGGCTTCTATGGTACATTCTAGCTATACGTCTTCCAACACAAGATTTTTGTTTGTTCTTCTAGCAGTTATTGGTACTTTTAGTATTCTTCTCCAACACTGTAACTCAAATGTATCAATTCTTCTACTTTCCCATGCATATGAGGCTACTGAAAATATCATAGCTTGGGTCAGGTACACTTTAGTCCTCAAACTGACATCTAATTGTTGTTATGTGCCGTGGAGTTGGTTCTGACCCATAGCAACCCTGTACAGGGTTTCTGAGGCTGTAAATCTTTACGGGAGCAGAAAGCCTCATCTTTCTCCCGTGGATATCTAATTGAGGACTACAAAATTCATGCACAATTTACTACTCAACTACTTTCAGCCACAATCCTTACATGTTTTTTAGTAATTCCAGATTTACCACTACATAAAGGACCTTTCCATTCCTCAACTTCTCCTCTGTATAGAGCTCACTGTGAATGAGTTAACATTTTTGACTATTCTGGCTTATCCCAGAGATTGATCTCATACATCATATGAGTTAGTCTACTCTCCCTGTGCCTTCGTGGCTAAAGTGTTGCTGGGCAGAACATTAACAGGACGGTCAGTGATCAGATGTTACTAAGCTTAATTCATGAATTCCAACTTTATGGACAGGGACAGGCAATATTTAGTTCCTTAGTTAACAGGATTATTATGAACTTCCTTGTTAAGCCTGGAGTTCTTTATAATGTAGGGCTAGTGAAGGGGGAACACGCCAAAAAAAAAAAAAAGCTCCTCATGCAAAAGAAAGGCTTAAATGCATCTTTAAGAAGAAACAAGGTTTCGGAGTGGGAAACTTACCAGCATCTGTTCAAAAAGAACCAGCACTTGCTCATCTGAAACATCTTGCAATGACTGTGCTGTGGGATCATCCCCATATGATGCAGATGAATTTCTATGAGCAGAACTGGGCTTTTCCTTTTCCTTCTTACTTCTTATGCTGGTAAATCTCTCCAGCTGAGGAAGCGAAAAAAAAAAAAATATTAGCAGCAATTCATCTTCATCTACACAGAAAAACCAAACATCAAATAGCCAATCCTCTAACCTCATCTACATGTGTGGTTCCTCTGGTTCGTGGGCAGTTCAAATCTTCTGGCATGAAAAGGCAATATCAGTCTTCCTCATATCTAATTTAGTATACTGACTTTACTCTCATCTTCATTGAAAGATGAGAGAACTAAAGTACAGAGATTTGAAAGTTCTTTAAAAAGAAGAAACTTTGTCCTTGCACTCCCCTGCCATTTCTAAGCTGTTTTTGTAGCAACAGAGTTGAAAGTATCTCATATGCAGAAATCGCTCAATACAATGTCCTGTTTCCTTCCCCCACTACCATTGAGTCAATTCTGACTCATAGAGGCCCTATGGTTTTTGAGGCTGTAAATTTTTGTGGGAGCAGAGAGCTCCTGAGGAGCACCAGGTGGATTTGAACTGTTGGCCTTGTGGTTAGCAGTCCAGTGCTTATCTTACAGTGCCACCAAGGTTCCTTCTGTTTCCTTCTAGCTACCCAATAATAAATAAGGGAAGGCCCCCAGAGGACCCTTCTCTTCAAGAGGTTAGATTTTAATTGATCTAAGTCATACATGGTAAACACCGTAAAAATCAGAAAACATTCCTTTTTCTACTTTTGTAAGGTCCATAGCACTTGTGTTATGAAGACAGCAAAAATTCAATACCTACTTCTCAAATTAGAACAAATGTAGTCAGCTAAGAATATAATGTACTTCAGAGGCATATAGACCCCATCTGTCAAACAAATGTTCACTAACCATTCCTCAACCTATAAGTACAGCTGTTCCTATCAAAAAGAGCCACCAATAAGCTACAGCTTATCAGTTCTACACATTTGAAAATAATAAATGTCTACTATCACTGTAAGGTTGCAAGTAATAGTACTGGCACCCAGACCAATAGTTAGCTTGGAGTTTAATGAGCATGCCTATCCTAGAAGCTGATGAGTGTGTCAGGGAAATGCATGCAATGGGCCAAATACATAGCAAAGGGTTAGGAAAAGCCTTGGGATTCTCTGGGAACAGAACCCAAATCACCATTACAAGTTACAGAAAGTCATAGTTAACGACAACCGGTAAATATCGTAGTGTAGGAAATGATCTAGAACATGCACATGGCTAAACAAAATTTCCTTACCTCATCTGCCATGAGCCGCTTCAGAGTCTAAGAAACAGGAGAAAGAAGGGAGAAGAAAGTGAGGAGGGCTCAGTGAAGTACTGGGAAATATCCCAAACACCAGAGAGGTTGGGGATAAAAAAAGAATCTAAGTTGAAATGACCTAAACTATTTCCCACAAGCTAGAAGAAGATTTCTACCAACTACCCATTATCACATCCCTTCAGTTAAAAGGTAGGAAGAACGTTAAGGTCCCTAACATATGACTCTGTTTTAAAAAAAAAGGTAGAGAATTGAATAGACTCTAAATTCAAACGACCACTAAACATATCACAATGTGCTCAACTTCATTAGTAAATAAGGAAATTCAAATTTAAATCATAAGATACCATTTTGTACTCCCTAGGTTGGCAAAAATGTTCACATCTGTCTAGTTGTAGAGTAATGGGAATTCTCACACACTACTGATGGGAAATTGTGCTGGTGTGGCACGGTAGGATCAGCACTTGACTGCTATCCACAAAGCTGGCGGTTTGAAATACCTACCTGTGGTCAGCAGTCCAGTTATTATCCTATAGTGCCACATACACATGCACTCCAACTCAATATATCAGTTTCTAAATGTCAGTTCTACTGAAACTTGCATGAAAGTAGCAGGATGTACTAATATGAATGTTCACAGCAACATTGTGATATCTAACAGAGAACATTCCAAATATCCATCAAGAGCAAAATGGACAAATAAACTGATATACTGGTGCAATAAACACAATTACGCAAAGAAAGTGAATGAAATTACAGCTACTCACATTATACATAATTTCACAAACAATTCCCAAACCAGACAAAACTGTAATGCACTACAAAATTATAAGGGGAATGATTACCATTACCACAAATGTCAAAACAATGATTAGGGAGAAGAGTTGTGGCTGGAGAAGGGAACAGGCAGGCTTCTAGAGTGCTTACAAGAGTTTACTTCTTGATGTGATTACATGGATATTGTTTATAATTATTCTTTAAACTGTATGTCTTATGTTCTTTTTCTCTGCACTCTGGTAGCGTAGTGGTTACGAATCGGGCTGCGAACCACAAGGTCAGCAATTCAAAACTACCAACTGTTCCACGGGAAAAAGATGAGGATTTCTGCTCCTGTCAAGATTTACAGTCTCGGAAACCCTGTACAGGGTCGCTATGAGTCAGAACTGACTCCACGACACATAACAACAACAACATCCTTCACACATACACACAAAGTTAGAAAAAGCAGGCTCAGGAAAGCAGAAATTATTCCTACTTTATTGGAAACCCTATTTGCTTTTTGTTAGTGTCCTTGAATTAGTACAGTATCTCTTGCCTAATCTTCCTCAATTTATGAAAAACTAGTTCTATCCCTGACAATGTCCTTTCTAACCTTCATCAGGGCAAGAAAAATTTACATCATTACATACATTTTCTATATGAGACTTTGGCTAAAACCAGTATAAACGGTGCATTTTAATTTTGCTCTCCATGGTACAGAGGAGGTCAGCAAGTGTCCCTCAGATCAATGCTAATCACGCACCTAAAATCCTAGGAGCCTTGCTCAACATCAATGGAATTTACAGTCCTTTTGTGTGGACTGCTTGCTAGAAAGCAAAGGCAGAAGGCTGTTGAGGCAGAAAGATACCACCATCCAAGGAGACACACAACAGCTCCTCTTGTTACGTCCCAGAGTCAGCTGGCAGATAGCGGTGAAACAAGTTATAAGAAGGATGGTGTGGAGAGTTGGGCTGTCATTTTAAACTCATTTACCAGAGTTAAACTCATTTGCCCTAAGGGCAATTGCTTCCAGATCTTCCCCCCTAAACTGAAAACCAAGCAAGATCCAAAACTCTGGGATGCATGTCCTAAAGGTAACAGAACATGGGCCTAAAGAAGCAGTGGCAGCTGATTGCTCAAAGCAGCAGTTGAATTGAGGACAGGGAAACTTGCAACCTGTTTTTGCTACTTACACAGTACTCTTGATTCATCTATCTTCCACCCATCCCTACTGGAGTCTTGGTGTAATGCTGAAGGATAAGCACTCGATTGCAAGGTTGGTGATTCAAACTCACCAGTTGCTCTTTGGAAACCCTATACACAGGGTCATTATGGGTCAGAATCGACTTGTTGGCACTCAACATTTCTTGTTCATAACTGATCTCCCTACCTTCTGTCCTGTCTGCCCCAACCAGATCCATTCCCCATACTATATCCAAAAGTAATTTTTCTAAAATGTTAAGCTGTGTGTGCTGCTTCCCCATTTAAAACACATCAGTAGCTCCCCACTGAACTCAGGTTAAATCCAAATTCCTTAGAGTGGCATGTGATGCTCCTGGCTTCTTTCCCTAGTCTCACCTCTCAACAAATCCTCAACTTCAAACTTCTAGTCCTACTGAATTAGTTGCAGGTCTACAAATAGATCATAGTGCCTCACCATTCCAATCTTTTACAATCCTGCTTCCATCAACCTGGATTAGCCTTTCAAGCTAAATCCAACATTCCCTTCAGGATGATACACCTCTAAGAGTCCAGCCACCGATCACCTAGGGTTGAATAGGTACCTACCTCTTCTTGTGTTTCCACAGTTCTTGTTATTGAGTCAATTCTGACTCACAGTGACCCTGTAGAGGTTTTCTAAGGAGTGGCTGGTGGGTCTGAACCACCAATTGTGGTTAGCAGTCCAGTGCTTATCCTACAGTGCTGCACCAGAATTCCATGTTTCCACAGTAAGTATTGACTATCTCATCACACTTAAATTGGATTATAATTGTTTTGTTTTGTTGGTTGGGTAGGGTGGTTTCTAATATATTTCCATTTAACTCACTAGTTTGAATCTTGGTGAATCAATCCAGTCAATGGTTACTTCAATTAGTTGAAGGTTCTGTTTCCGATGTGGGCTGGCATCTGTCCCAGCTGTCAACACCTATCGCAGCTCCTGGCACCTGGTATGTATTGTTGAATTGGTCATCTTTCCCACTATCACAAATACAGTATTTCCTATGACTGATGCCAACTCTCTGGTTCTGTGCTAAAATTAGGGTTAAAAGAACTTAAAAAACAAAAAACCCCATAGCTCGCCATGTTATTCCACTATGATAGGGACAGATAGCTGGTAAAATGTGGAGAGCAGAAGTAACTGACACCCTTGATACCTTTAAGACATGTATATGCCAGTTGTTGGTGTTGTTGTTACGTGCCATTGAGTTGATTCCGACCCATAGCGACCCTGTATAGGGTTTCCGAGGAGGCGCTGGTGAGCTTGAACCGTCGATCTTGCAGTTCAAATGGATTTGCAGTCTGGCGCATTAACCCACAGCACCACACCAGGACTCTATGTGCCAGTAGCTAGGAGATAAAACCCCTGGAAATTTAGGTGCCATCTCTGTGAAATTTCTACAATTAAGTGGTCTGGATAATGTTGGGATATCCAGTCCGAATATAAAGATGGTGCATCTTTGTACCCTCAAACACTAAGAAAAAGGCACGATGTTTGGTGGGCATCTTTGGGTTTCTGACATTTGGTTGTTTTCCTCTGATTCATTTACTCAGGGACCAAAAATAGTTGCAGTTTTGAAAGGAACCCAGAGTAAAAACAATTCCCTGGTTGGTCAGCTATCAATGTAAGAGGCTTAGCAATTTAACATCTTACAAACCAGTAGATCATAAAGTTCTGTCTGTGGCAAATAAGGATTCTGAATGGAGCCTAAGGTAAACCAGGATATAGAATCACAGTGTGATCCCTTAGGGTTGTTTTTTTTAAATAGTTTTCTACTTTTTATTGTGAGTGAAGGTTTAGAGAGTGGCTCATCAGTTTTACATTCAATAAATGATATAAATGATGCCCTTTATTCCATCTCAATGGTTGTAATCCCCTCAATGGAACAGCACCTACCCCACTTCCTCCCTGGGTTCCCCATTTCTAGTCCTCCTTCTTGCCTACTCTTTTGATTTCTGTCCTTAGATAAATGCTGTTCTTTTGACCTTGAATGGATGACCATTCTGTGGCACGCATACCTCATTAGTGTTAATGTCCTTTCTGTATACCTATCTACTACTGCTTGGCTAACATTGAGCCTAGGAGTTGAGGTGGGGAAGATGATTCTAATTTTCTTTGATTGTCTGCCTGCTTTATCCTCTTCCAAACTCAGCTTCCTGAGGGCACAGCCTGAGACTCAGTCATCATATTTCCTATGAATAAATGCTACAACTTGTTGGTGATTTCCTAAAATATCAATTCCTGGTTAAGCCCTCAAAGTCGATTCTACCGCTTCATTGTATCAATGAACATAAACAGGTTGAATAATTCATCAAGATCACATAATTAGGGGTTAAACTGGGTAAAGAACTAAATCAGGTCTCTAGATTCCAAAGCCCAAATCTATGGGAAAAGCCCTCTGCTTTGTTCCAGTCATTAATGTTCTTAAATATAAAGCTCTTGCTTTTAGATAAAAAAAAACACAAAAACATGAAAATCTTCTCATAAGAGAAACAAATTTGATCCTTCTTTAAAAAAAAAAAAAAAACTCATACAGGGCACAAAATTATGAAAACTTCTTAGACATTACCAAACACTTTGAGGGAATGATTTGCTGGGCTTGGGGGCTCAGGACCATAGTTTCAGGAGACACCATGGTCAATTGGCATAACATAGTCCACAAAGAGAAATGTTCTATATCCTACCATGGTGAATAGTGAATAAAATTTAAAATCCTGAGTGGCCATCTAAAGTGCTACTATTTTCCCTTATCCAGAGGAAAGAAAAGTGATAATAATTGAAGATGCTTGGAAGCAACTAGTCCAATGGACTAATGGAACACAGGAAGCCTCCAAAACCCTGAAACCAGAAGAACGAGATGGTGCCAAGTTACCACTACCAACTACTCCAAATGGAGTATATATTAGAAGGTTCTGGATAGAGTGGGAGAAAATGTAGAACAAAACTCTAAATTATAAAAAAAAAAAAAAAGGCTAGGCATACTGGTCATATAGAGGCAGCTAAAACCCCACAACTATGGTCCTTGATC